ACCAAATATTGGTTGAAAATTCAAGGTTTCAAAAATTATTGTTTTTTTAAATTCATTTTATTTTTTTATTTTTTTTAACTAATTAGAATTATAAATTCTTTCAAAACTTTGGTAATGATAAAACATTAAGTTTGCTTATTTAAGAACTCATTTTGATCTGTTTTGATAAGAGCGCCGAATGAGGCGCTGTCCCCAAAGTAACCCGCGTGGTAGCACGATGCATAACAACAAACACCTGCCATAAATAAGCAGACAAAACATTCTACTTAAAAGTTTGCTCTCCTAATGATCAACTTATCTTTCTTTATACTATAATGCAAGACCAATATCATCATTATATTCCAAGGTTTCTTCTTCGTAATTTTGCTGTTAATAATTATGAGAGGATATTTGTGGATAATGAAAGATTATTCAAACAGAAAAAACATAAACGGAACTTTAGGAATAGAAATAATAAAGACGCACTTCTTCAAACTTATGATAGAAATCTCAGTCAACTGGGCTTCTCTTTAATCGCAAAAACCTATGGATATGCAAATATGTACAAAGATATTGACCATGAAGACGCGATGAATGTGGAAAAAAAATTGTCAAAACTTGAAGAGCAAGCATCGAAAGTGATCAGAGATATTATTAAGACTTCTCAAGTGGAAAGTCAGATTGTTTTGCTCAGAAAAGATCTCGGGAATCTTCGCAAGTTTCTCTTCATAATGAACTATCGAAACCGCTCTCGTTGGTCTCAATTTGCCGAAAATAGGTTTGACAACCTTACTTGGTCGATGGTTGAAAACTTCATGCAACAACAAAAATTAAAAATTGCTCAAGAAGTTTGGTTACAGAATATTCGTGAAATACTAGAAACTCCACATGAAGACGTTCAAAACAACTTGCAAATATTTTCATTGGATAGGACAGATTATCAACTGCGCATGGTTGATTGTTTTCTCGTAATTTGGCAAGCTGGTGAAAATGACGAGTTTATTATTACCAGCAATGGTTTTGGAATCTTCGAAGGGGTGAATGGATCCGTGATGTTAAGTCAATTTCAATTTGCATACCATTGGTTCTACGTCATCTCTCCAAAGCTAGCGTTAGTCCTTTGTCATTCTTCATTCCGAAAAGAAATTGGACCTGATCTTTTGCAAAAACAATTCGGTTTTACCCGTTCGATATTCGAATACGTTCCTCATCCACCGGCAATTCCAAAATATGTAGCAACTCCGAAAGAAGTACCAATTAATGAATATGGCCGTAGCAATGACACAAATCCATTTACGGCATTTGACTCGCATTTAAAAAGCATAGGTCTCGAAAAACGGGTGGATGACACATTTACCTTTAACTTTGTCAAAGTCTCGTCGGCTACCGTTCATCTTGTAAACTCTTTCTTGCTTAACGAGACTAAAGAAGACCTAGTTCTAACTTTCCTTTCCCATTCGTACCTCTATAAGACAATTACCAAGTACTATAAACACCACAAGGAACTTGGTGTTGTAGACCAGGACTTCTCGGTTTTAAAAAGGAAATTATTCATGGTATTAAATCAAACTCACGAGGAAAACTTGAATCTCAGAAGAAACATCCCAGCAGAACGATCTTGTAATTGGAATGTACGCGTATTGACTTCAGAACTCTGATCAATATCAATCATATATAGGAAGAAATTTGTATATATTGCTCTTTATTCCTTTTCATTTATTTATTATTGTTTATGGTGATATCAGATATAGTTACTACTAAATTTTTCTATTTCGTAATGCAATATATAATTTTATCTTTTTTTAAAATTTCTTTTTAAAAAGTTGAATGTTTAAATTTATATTATATATACTAATTATGGTAGGATTTATAGTTCTGATAAATCAGAGCGCTTCCTTTTTAAATGCCTAGTATTTTTAAATTAATAAAGCACTTGACACAATAACTCAAAAAATTTAATTATAAAAAAAATAATGATTAACATATTAAACATCAAAAGGAAACAGAACCGTTATTAATTTCGGTGCACAAATGTAACGAAAATGACTTCGCTCAGGACTAATAAACTTAATTATAAATTTATTATTTTTTGTTTAACACATCAAAAATAATAATAAATAGGATATTTACTTGAATACAAGAAATTTACAAAGCTATGTTAATTCTAAAATAATTATTTATTTATTAAATATTTAAATTATTATAAGATTATACAAATATAATTATAATATTAAGATCTATTAAATAACTAATTTTAATTTACTTTAATAAATCAATTTTTGTAATATAATACAAATTTATTTACTCTTAATATTATATAAAAAAATATATCAGATTTTTGAAAATTTTTTAATAAAAAAGTTAATATGGGAAGTGATCAGTAAAAAAGGGGAAAATCCAAAATTTTTGTTAATTTTTATTATTAAGCCAAATTTGTGCACATAATCAAGATTAGCCAAGTGATCTAATAATATAAATTTTGACCAAAATTTAGATTTCCTCCTTTTCTACTGACCGCCTTCCATATAAAAAATTATATCTACCATTCTGAAAATTAGTTTTAGCAATTATCTTGAAATCTACAGGTCTAATTTGATTGGTTTTTTTAAAAAATGTAACTCTTTATGAGCCATATCAAACATAAAAATCTTCATTTAATTCAAATTATTAGATACTAAGAAATTCACAAATACTAATTTTGAAAAAATCCTAAAAAAAAAATATGTATTATGTTAAAAATGTTTAAAGTCTTGTTTTTATTATATTATTTAATATCAATTATAGATATATCCTTAATATTAATTTTTCAAAGTAAAAAAATTAAAAGAAAAGTTTTTAGTATATAATTAATTATATAAAATAAAAAAATATAAAAACATATAAAAATAAAAAAAAATGAATGAAAAAAAGAATTTTGAAAACTTGAGTCTTCAGCTGATATTTAGTACGAATTAGAACTTATTACTCAATTGATTATATAAAATAAAAAAATATAAAAATATAAAATAAAAAAAATGAATAAAAAAAAAGAATTTTGAAATTTAAGTCTCCAGCTGATATTTGATACAAACTAGTTCTCACTTCTTAATTAATTAATTATAAAATAAATAAAGATATAAAAAAAATAAAAAAATAAAATGAATTTAAAAAAACAATAATTTTTGAAACCTTGAATTTTCAACCAATATTTGGT